GCCCCGCGAGAAGCGGCGGTCGCGCGGCCAGGTCGGCGGAGGAGAGCGGGCGGGCGGCGGCGGCCGCGTGCTAGGGCGCATGCGCGGGAGAGCCGCAGAGGCACTTTTGGCGCCAAAAGGCACCGAACGGGGTGGGGCCGCTGAGGCGTTCCCACAGTGGGCGGAGGGGTTCGGCTCGGTGCGGCTCAGGTGAGCTTCGGTGTCACCTCGTGAGGTAAAAGTTGCGAGGAATTAGAGTTTTATACGAAACATCTGAGGTTGCTAGGCCCCACGATGAAGTAGTCCCTGAAATGGGTTTTAAAATAATGTATATTGAGCACTTTCTTGCTTCCCTAGCTCCGAGGGAAGGATTCCTAAGACAGGTAGCGATCCCAGGCTTTTCTCCATACAGAGCCTTCTGGTAATTTAAAACTAAACAGTTTGCAGTTGTCCAGGATGTCATAAATACACCAAGTCCTTTGAGACTGGGCAGCTGCGCACATAAAATGCCATTTAAGGACTTGGAGCGCAGGCTGCAGAAACAATAGGAGAGAGGCTCCCTGCTATGGTTTTCAGTGCTGTTGCATCTGAAATAGATTCTTCATTGAAGTGAAATGAGATAAATTAATGTCAAGTATTAATATACTAATTGACTTTCCCTTATTTCTCTAGAAATTCAAATTTGACGTACACTGTTTCTGGTAATTCAATGTATTCCTTCTAATGTGATAAAATCAATTGCAGTTTCTGTTAAAAAATAAGTATTCTCCTTTAGTCAAAAGTATTTTAGCAGTTAATGTTTAAAACGTGTCTTCCCAAATGCAGCCATGTCTTTTGTAGTCAAGAATACATAAAATACAGGAGAGTACATTAATGGATTTGTTAGCATTGAATCCATTTGTCTTAACTTTTCAGATATGGTCAATTTTTTCCATTGACTGAGGCACATGAAACATGAAAATAAACACCAAGATATACTAATAGTTATAGCTTAAGTGCTGCTAATTTCCAGCTCAAGACACTGTAAAGATTTGAGTGATATAAGATAACTGAAAGTCAAATGTCTATATGATGAGCTCTTTGCATTGAAAATTATAGTCCCTCTTTATATTAGGTTTTGGGTGTAGCTTGAGTATCTGATTCATAACTATTAGTGTAATACATCTTTTTCCTTAAATGTTTCCCTTAATATTTAATGCGCTTTTCCTTTGTTCGTGAAGTAATTGCATTTTAAATGCTTAGCTAATGTCAACCGAAATACTAGAGAGCTCAAGCTTTCAAAATTCCCCTAAGTCCTGGTATATTTGCTGCAAAATCAACTAGAAAGTGAAGAGCAGCAGCAGAGCGGGGTTCTCTGAGAGCAAAGGCAGCAAGAAGGCAGTATTAATTTACGTGGTTCTGTATACCCAGGTCAACCGGTCTGCATGAGCAGAGCTCTGTGCTGTGGTACAGGTTTTGCCTTTGCCAGAACAGGTAGATAACAGGTAAGAAATAAAGTTACAGATATAGAAAAGGTGCTGGAAACATAAAAAACACTGTACAGAGATTAAAGCAGCAGATCTCTTACAATCTTTGCAGAGAAGTACAGTGTTACAAAACCTACAATATTCATGCAACTGTGATTAATCAATATTTTTGAAGAGTGTTTAATTAAGAGACTGGAATTGATGACCTAGGTGGTTCTTTCCAGTCCTATGTTTCTAATTAAATGAAAAGCATATGCTGGCAGGCATTGATTATTGTTTTTTTCCTCAGGAAATGAATAACCAGCCACATGCTGATAAAATAATAAGTCAGGGAAAAAAAAACCCCATAGCTTGCCTCTATTCTAGAAAATACTTCTGGTTTCTAGTTTAGGTGAAATGGAGATATTACTTGTTTGCTTCTGTATTGAATAGTGTAATTTCATTAGGAAAAGTGCAGAAAATTAGCACCTTATTTAATATTTCAGTCTCATTTCCTGTTTTATGTGACACGTAATATATGCCAAAGAAAATCTGTAAAACGGATAATTGGCTACTTCTACATTTGAAGGGTTTTACTCCTATGGGAGTACTACTTGTTCTGCAAAAACCCTCTAAGTATTCTGTTGGCAAAGCTGCTGATGCAATAAACCCTTGGCAAAACTGGTACCATTTTAGCTGTGTTAGTGGGAAATCACATCTTGGGGATTTGGCAAACTTCAGCTATTCAGCTTGCTAATCTAATCTAAATTTTATATTATACAGTCACCTTAAACATTAATTTCTAAGCTTTTAGTGTATTACTAAACATTTAAGATTGTATTCTGATCCACAGTATTCCTTTCAATCCCTCCTTCTTGGGGAAAACAAGATGTGCAAACCAGGTCGTGATCTCTGTCTGACAGTCAGTCTGTCAGCTCCTTCTGATAATTTTGGATCCTGTTGGCCAATTTCATTCAAATTCAAATCAGGCTCCTTAAATTCCATTGCTTATGGGACTAATTATTTCCTTAAATTGCTTTGTTAACCACTGAATAGATTAAGAAGTATTAAATCTTACAAACAGACGTTTGCATGCATATATTTTGGCAATAAAATATGCGACTTTATGTGGCAATTGAGCTTTAAAAGTTGGTTTAATTTAGTGATGCAATTAATTATGTAGTAATCATGTTTTCCTTTTCATGCAAGAAACTAGACAAAATTCAGGTTTCCATGAGGGAAAATGGTGGCAATGAAGACAAGCTGCTCTGTTCCATTTCTGTTTAGAAAGACGTATTTTAGTTCTGTTTTTCCAAGCAGTGATGTAATCAATAAATCAAAGTCTCCCTGCTCAGAAGTCTTTTATACAAATTGCACTACTATTTGCACTATTTTTTCTTCTTCTTTTCCTCAGTGATCCACCTTAAAAAACACTTGTTTGCAGTTCCTTCCATGGAGAATATCCAAATTCCCAAAACATGTGTTTTGCTTCGGCTAGGGAAATAAAGTTAAGCCTGTTTGCTTCACAGAAGTTCAAACCAACCTACAACAATCTTGAAACTTTTCAAATGTCCTATGCAATCACATAAAACTGGTCATTCAGTACAAATATGCAGATCAGTGTGACAACCATTTTAAAAAATCACAACAACCAAACAAATAAGGTGTCTCCCGAGGCTTCCAGCAAAGCCCAGAGGCCACCCAGCTCTTGGGTCTGATGGTGCCCGGGGGGTTTGGCGGTGGCCACAGCAGTCACACAGAAACGATTCCTGCCGTGGCATCAATCTGTACGCCCCTTACTTTATTCAAAGTATCTTTGTTTTCATGCTATAGGTCGAAGTGACTGAGAGAGATGACTGAATTCAGTAATTCAGACTCCCCGTTTGCAGTGCAAGTATGCAGTGCTCCAGACGAGGGAGCCATCTCTTAATCGCTGGAATTGGATGGAGGCAGCATCTTCGAACACCTTTGAATGTCTTGGTCCACCTGGCCACGTCCAGCTGAGCTGTCACAGGACACCGTCACCTCTCCCTTTGCCACCGCTTCCCCAGTGGGGTCCCTCTGCTCCCACCGCTCTTAATGGTGGGGCTCAGGCGGCCTCTGGTATCATGTGGCAGACTTATTTTCTCTAAATTCAGTACTTTATAGACGTGTGGAAGCAAGTTGATGTTAAGGCAGTGTTCAGTTTAAACCCCAGTGTGGGATTTTTTATTAGCAGTAAGGTAGCTTTTGTTCTCTGACTTTTTAACCCCTTGTTTATGTTGGTGATTTTCTCCTCCAAATTACCCGTGTAAGAGAGGCCCTGTTCTGTCTACAGTGTAGGGTCACAGCCTTCTCTAATAGTTTGCACGTTCAGGACTTGTATGTCCAACCTTAAAACTGTTAAAGCAGTGGTGGGTCCATAAAGTACAATCCCCATATACAACACTGATTTTAAAATTTATTTTCTAAATAATACTTTCTCAGCTATGCCAAAACATGTTAGAGAGCTCCTGGAAAATAACATTTTCTTGGTTATATTTTTACTAAGATAATGTAATTACAAAAACTGAGAGAGCCCCCAAGTCATAGTGATGAAAGTCAGAACTTCACAGAAATG